AACCCGCCACCTTAGGTGTACGTGGCTGGCGCCTTAGCCGGTTGAGCTATAGGCGCCGGGCCACGCCCAGCTGTTTTTTGGTTGCATCTGTCATTGTTTGGCGGGCCCAGGCTGGATTCGAACCCACCACCTTGGGTGTACGTGGCTGGCGCCTTAGCTACTTGAGCCACAGGTGCTGAGCCCTGGCTATTTTTAGAGATGGAGTCTTGCTCTTGCTCAGGCTGATCTCAAACTCCTGAGCTCAAGCAATCCACCTGCCTCAGCCTCCCAGAGTGCTAGGATTACAGGCATGAGCCACCCAGGTGGTATTTTAAAGTGAGAAAATCCCCTGGATTTGGTCAATGTGTGAACATTCCCAGCTTGATCATGGACCTGTAACTGGTCTTGATGACTAGGACTTCATTGTTCTTCATCATTGAGAGTGTTGGGCATGGAGGGCAGTTTAGGAATTCAGGTTGATAGCCTGTTGGGGCTGTTTTCTAAGAGCCCACGTCCCTAGAGTGAATGGGCTTGATGATGGTAGAGCCGGAGTGTGTGGGCCTGTGTCTGCCCTAGTGCCTGGGGAGGAAAGCATCTTGTTGACTGCGACTGGGACTGACACCAGCCAGTCAGTGTCTCACTGCCGGCCTCACAGGTTCTTTCCCTGCCCACTGCCCCACATTGATGACTGAAGCTTCCCACTGTGAAAAGACATCCTGGCAGCTTAGTGGGCTTCTAGTATTTGTTCAAATTGGGTTTAAATCACAGTGACAACTTCCATTCTTGAGCGCACCTTATATTCTTGAGCACACAGAGCCAGGCTCTGTTGAGCAGAGGCATGAGTGATTACACTAATGCTCGGGTGTTTTTTTGTTTGTTTGTTTTGTTTTTTGAGACAAAGTTTCACTGTGTCATCCTCAGTGGAGTGCTATAGCCTCACAGCTTGTAACTCTTGGGCTTCAGCAGTTCTCTTGCCTCAGCCTCCCACGTAGCTGGGACTACAGGTGCCCACCACAACGCCCAGCTATTTTTTGTTGCTGTTGTCATGGTTTAGCTGGCCTGGACTGGGTTTGAACCCACCAGCCTCAGTGTATGTGGCTAGCGCTGTAACCACTGTGCTTCGGGCGCTGAGGCATGCTTCTGTGTTCTTAAAATAGATAGTGTCCTCAACTTACAGGTGAGACACAGAAGCCAGCCATGCAGCTAGCAAGAGGCAGCACTGGGATTAATGCAGGCTGTGGGAATGGGACATATAGGGAGTTGACGCTTTCTTAAAGGCAGAGTGATGAGGAAGGAGAAGGTATATTGAGGGATGCTGGAGGAGGCTGGTAGTTGGTGATGAACCTTGGATGGTTCAGGGTTTTCTTGGGTATATTCTCCTTCCAGGATTAGGATATGTGGTTTGGAGGTCTTTCTGGGAATTGAAAGTATGGTGAAATGTTACTTGGTCCCTCTGCAGCCTTCACATGGACATAAGCAGGGCTTGGGGAGGTGCTTTCTCCATTTCCTGCCCTCAGTATGTGGGCAAGTCTTGAACACTGTGTTCTGTTTGCCAGCCCAGGGTGGTTATTGGCAGTGCTGAAACCTCTGTGAGGTCTGTCTCACCTGGCCTCTGGGAGCTTCTTAAATTGTTATGAATTATTTTGAAGCAAATTTCTGGATAGTGCTAGAGCTAGGATTCTGGGATTAAGTCAAGTGACTTACCTGAGTGGGTGATCAGTAAGGGTGACCCACCCTTACTGTGGGTGATCTAGGAGGCTGAGGTGAGAGGATTACTTGAGCCCAGGAGTTTGAGGCTGCAGTGAGCTGTGATTGCACCACTGCACTAAAAGGGTGGGAAAGAAATTGTTTCAGGGAAAAAAAAAGTCAGGTGACTTAATGGGGCTTTGTTTCCTTTTTCCTGGTAGGGGGCTCTCATTGGTCTCCCCTAAACTGTCTCTCTCCACAATATTTCTCTGGGGTCTCCCTTCCCCAGACTGAAGGCCCACAGAAGTACTGATGTGGTCCCCATTATTCAGGCCAGGCAAGTTACAGAGAGGAAAGTGGCTGCTGGGGAAAGGGCATGCTGCTACCTGCCCTGTTGCTGTGTATGAGCCAGGAGGGAACCAGGCCAGCTGGCTTTGTTAGTTGAAACAACCTCAGAGGGACCTGCCTCCTAGGCTGGGTGTATATCCCTATTCCTCAGGCAGAGAGGGGTGTAATTCGCTTGCATGGACCTAGCCACTGTTTTCCTGTGCCTGATTTATACCCTTGCCCGCCTCAGTTAACCCTTCTGTAATGGTTGTAGAGCCAGAGGGAGCTTAATAAATACCTGACCTTTTAACCTGGCAGGTGGTGAGAGAATTGAAAACACTTGGCACCTTGTTCTCCCTAGGGGCTGTGGTAAAGTTCTCAAAGCCAAATGAATGCTAACAGCATTGAGTGAAAGTTACCATGCATGTGAGAGATAAAGCTGGGGCCAGGGTAGGTCTGGGGAAGCTGGAGAACCAGCTCTCTTTGCTGTAGTCATGGGAGGTGACACTTGAGCTAGTGAAATCAAGAAGTATTGTGGAGCCCGCGTGTTTGGTTTTGTTTTTGGAAACCATGTGGCTTTAAATGACATCTTGCTCAATTTAGGTAAAACATTGGCTGACTGATTTCCTTGTACCTCCTGGGAATAGGCAGTAATATGTGGAGAAAGTGTGTCATCTGTGACAGAGCTACTGGGTGCAAGTAAATTTCCTTGTAGGTGAAGTTTTCCCTTTAAGCACTCAAACTAGGGCTTTAATGATGTATGGAAAACTTTCCAAAATGTGTCATGCACACCCTTGTCTTCTCTAATAGGAGGTGTGACACTAGGCTTAGCATTTTGATGACTTGGGGTGGTGGTTATGACTGGTGGTCTCACAGCTCAGTGACGTGGTTAAGCCTGTGGGTGCTTTGCCCCTACACTAAATGGCCACACTAAAGGGCCCCACAAATTGGCTCTCCTCACTGGCTTTGGTCTTCTGTGCATGCCAGGCTGGTTTGGCAGCTGTTATCTTGTAGCTTGTGAGATTGGAATCACAGGTTCCAGACAGGGCCTTGCCCCTAATATGCTGGGGGCCCATGGTCAGCTCTGGCCTTGTTCTGTGTTTCTCTTTCCCTCAGTTGAGATGAGTTGGACTGGTCAGTTTCTTTCTTTCTTTTCTTTTTTTTTTTTTTTT